CTTAAGGCCACAGATATTTAGAAAGGGAGCACTAACCCCAAGGTGAGAAGTGACCGTCAGGAGAAGGTCAGCATGGGATGAGAATAATGAAGGAGCAGGACAAGCAATCAACACCAGAGAAGGAAAACCAGGGACAGAACTAAGACGAGGCAGCAATAACGACGATGAAAAAAAGCCACAGCTACCACTCATTGAGCTCTGACTACACGCCAGGGTCTGAGCACTTTCCGTGCATTAAATCATTTAATCGTTATACAGTTTAAACATACAAATGGCCCCCATGACGTTTCTTTACGACAAAGAGAAAGACAACACCTTACGGTGAAGCCCAGCAAACAAGGTGTCAAGTGCCAGGAATGGGGCACAGTGACAGCATGAAGCCCTGACAAGCGGCACCAAGGCCACAGCTTTTGGCGTTCTTGCCAAACATACACAACCTCATTCTAATTGGGAGGACAACATCAGACAAGCCCACCACTCGTCCAAAACATTATAGTCAAGAGGCAAGGGAAGGTTGAAATTCTGCAACAGACTGGAGGAGACCAAAGAAAAAATAAATGCTAATGGGACCGTGTACAGGATCCTAAAATAGAAAAATAGTCCTTAGTGATGGTCAAGTTCAAATAAGATCCTAGTGTAGATAACAGAATTATAGCAACATTGATTTCCTGTTGTGGGTTGGCTCAATGTTTATTCTGAACATTGTAATATGGTTCTGCAAAATGCTGGCATTAGGGAGTTAGATGTAGGGATATGGATACTCTCTGTCTTATATTTTTTCCTGCAAGTGGAAAATTAAAATTTTAAAAATTTTAAATTATTTTTAAATTTTATTTTCTAAGCACAAGATTCTCCAAACAAATCAAGCCCATCTCAGAAGAGTTACTTATTGGGTTGGTCTACCAGCGACGAGACATGGCCAGATTTTGGATAAAGCAGAAAATAGTTTCAACTGGCGGCAATCTTGTTCAAGATCTGCCACAGCTGGGTGTCCATCGCTGACACTGCCCTTGCGTCCAGCAGGTCCTCAGTGGCAGGGAGGGGGCCAGCACTCATTGCAATAAGCAGCGCTGCCATGTCCGGAGGTGTGACTGACAGGACAGGCTCCCTCCTACGGTGTATGTTCCTCCCCAGCCTCCAGGTTCCCTGGCATTATTCTGCATCTTCTGTTTGTCTTGTTCTTCCATCCGGGAGGACCTGATGACAGAAGCTTCTCTCATTTTCATGACAATGTGTCACGGCTCCTCCTTCCACATTCCTTCCGCGGTGAGTCACGTTCAGAGGCTTTTGCTACCAAATAAAGGCATTTCCCACCAAGTTGAAGCCCTTCAACTGTATCCCTCGATGTCCCACCACTGGTTTCTCATATCTCACAAGAGGAAAAAATAATTGCTATTTTGCCCACATTTGATTGTTGTTTTTCTCTCCGTGTGTGCTTCTGTCTCCCATCTGACCAGCCAGGAGGACGGCGGCAGACGGGAGGGGGCAGAATCTGCAGCTCTGGCCTCGTGGTGGACGGCAGCACCCACCGCCGGGAGGGCGTGTGTTGCTCTTCGAATGTTCCAACACGCAGCACAGGCAGGACACGTGCCCTGTTAGCGTGCAGGGCCTTGGCACCCGTCGTCCGGTTCCCGGGTGTCTGCGTGGTGAGGTTTCCCGCTAGGCCGCTGCAAGCCGGCCCCACAGCTGCCTGTGTCCTGTTCCAACAAAGTTCTGTTTTCATTTCCTTCTCTCCACCCCGCACACTGGAAAACAAATTATCCGGTGATTAGCTAACACCTCGTGACTGCACGTTTTGCAAGGAAGGAAGACGAGAGGGAAAAGCCATTCTAAGCCCGGTGCCTGGGACCCTTAAACAAGGGGATGAGGACCCCAGAGGGCCATTGATTCAAAGGTGCGAGCGGGTCTTTTCTCTAATGGAGAGGGAGATCTGGGATGGGGCCAGACGGAAGCTGGGAGTGCCTGGCCGCTGCCCTCCTTCCCCCTCCCAGGGATATTTTGGCAGCTGCAGGGGTGCTGCCCGGGCAGGGTTGGGTGTCTGTAAATGAGCCCCACTGCCCCGAGGCCACCTCCCTGGCTACTGAGCTCTGCACAGTGGGCAGCGTGGAGGACGGTGAGGAACAGGAAAAGCATGTTAGTTGAAGACAAGCTCGGAAAGTACTCGTCAGAGGATGGTAGGTTTCCAGGGCCATGAGTGAGCCCTTGCTAACACTTAGGATGTAAGCCATGTGGGCTGCTGCTTGAGAATGAAAGCGCATCCCCTTGACTTATTGGTCTACTTTTGTGTCTATATACACACTAATGCTGTATCTCAGTTATTTTAAGATATAACCTTTCACATTTTAATATCTCTGCAATTGAGGCACACCATACAACTGGCAGTTTTTTAGTGGTATATAAAAAGTATCACGTCTTAAAATTACCGTATTTTTCAGACCATAAGACGCACTTTTTTTCTCCCAGAAGTGGGGGGGAAAAGTCCCTGCGTCTTATGGTCCAAATATAGCCTACACATATACTGTAAAAAAAAAGTTTTTTTACTTGCCCGGCTCTGTGTGGTCTCTGTGTGCTTGCCCGGTTCTAAAATGGTTCTAAATGCTGCTGTTTACTTTACAGGGTTGATTACATGTGTTTATGACTGTGATGTTGGGTTTTAATGCACATAAAATATTTTAGGACACTATTTGTTTCAGAATCTTTTTTTCTTCATTTCCCTTCTCTAAAAACCGGTGCATCTTATGGTCCGAAAAATACAGTAATAAATATGATAATTCACATGCAATATGACAAAATTTTGGGGGCTCCCTAGAGACAAAAGTGCCTCATTCATGGCCTCTATCTTTCAAGATATGATATCATGGCAAGAAAAAACCACACCCAACATTCCTAATTTGAGACCTGAATGAATCAGGTAATAGTTTAACTTTTCAGATTTATTGTTAATCCTAATAAAGTTCATCAAAATCATCTAGCAGATATTCTCTAGCACTTAGAGAATAGAATCAGTATAAACATTAAAAAACTTAACTTATTCAATAATCTTAACAGCCCCGCACATGAAGTACTTGTTTTCTCATTCTAAATAAGAATTTTTATTTAACTTGACATTTTTCATAAGAAGGTAAATCACAGAGAAGTTAACTTTTGCCCTAAGTAAAAGCTTCATTCTTTTCGGCTTTCCTGGAAATAAAAATAAGTCATCCTTTGCTTTAAAAAATGAGTTCTCACTTTCTGCCTGAGGGGGCCATGACCACCTACAACATCAAAGACTCCAGACCTTTATCAAACAAGGTATTAAAGTAGGAGATGGTCACACGTTGAGTGCCTTTAATTCTGGATTTAATTTTCAAGACTGACTCCAAGTATTCAAACAGAGATGGGTACAAGCAGAGTCAGGAATGGAAATAAGCGATTCAGGTCTCTCTCATCTTTTTCTCTTAAGGCCCGGTTGGGTTTATGAAAAGTCTAAACCCTGTCAATGTTTACTCAGCCTTTTGACTTTCAAATTCAAAGTCAAAATGATGTGGGAGTAGCCACACACAAAAAATCCAAATGCCAGTTTCACTGTTGAGGCCACAGTAGTGAGCAGTTCTGAGAGAATGAATTATCTACAATATTTACCTTCATGCGATGGGGGCTCAGTGGAGAATCCATCTCAGGAGCACCAAGAGACGGCTCCGTTGATTTAGGAATCAATCACTACCTCGATTGAGGCCAAGCATGTGCAGAGCTCTAAAGCCCAAGCATCCCTTTGCTGACAACCCCATGAGACTGATGACCAGCGTTGTGGGCTCAGGTAACCACTCACGAGAACTTCTGCCAAACAAAGAGCCAGAGATCAACTCACCCATCACACATCACCAACACCAAGGACTTACGTTCAAACAACGGCCCATGTCAACTGGAGGCTCCCGGAAGACCCTCAGGAGAATCTAAACCTATTTCTAAAGTGACTACATCTCTTCTTTTCCTGCAGACTTGAAACATCCGTGAAGGAAAATTCCCAAGAAAAATTACAGAAATTCCCCCCAGAGGAAAAATGCGTTACTTGAAAATACGTGGTCAAGTTATATATAGACACGTGCAAATTGTGGACCCAGGACCAGTGAATGTTTTGAGAGCTTGATTACTCTTCTCTAAACTAATGTAGCAACGCTGCTCTCTAGGTGTGCTAGCAGCCACTGCATAGAAAGGTCAGGTGCAGTCCCATGAAACCCTTAGAAGGGCCAAGCTTACAGTCTTCAAACCCACATTAAGTACCTGTGCCCTCGTAACTGCTCACATATGGCCTTAACATTCCCAGTAGAAGACAGTCTGCTAAATGTCCTCACAACACTGATCCCTTCTGTTTTGTGAGCTTCATCAAATGTCTACTTCTTTTTTTTGTTTTAATCCTCACCCGGGGTATTTTTCCATTGATTTTTAGAGAGAATGGAAGACAGAGGGAAACACCGATGTGAGAGACACACCAATTGGTTGCCTCTACGCATGCCGCAACCAGGGCCCAGGCCAGGGAGGGACCAGGACCAGGTACATGCCCTTGAGCAGAATCAAACCCAGTACCTTTCAGTCAGCAGACTGACGCTCTGTCCACTGAGCCAAAGCTGCTAAGGCTCTATTGTTCTTAATTGACCATTAGCAATTTCTTCTCAACATGAGTCTATTATGAAACCTAAGTGGTAAAGGCTGCTTCTAGATTGTATCACTGTGGATACAAACCCCAAAGTGAACACGGTTTAGGGCAATACAGTGTCTTCTTTTTAATGCTGCTCCACCTCCTAATTATGCTTACTGAAAATGGAAGCATAAATAAATATTCATATTCCTCTTTACAGAATCAAGTGAGAAAGCACTTTTAAGAATTTTAAATGTGAAGATAGATCATGCACTGATCGTTCAATATCACTATAATAGTTTCTGAAGAGAACAATGGCCTCTTTAGGGGAAATGTAACCAAATATGGAAAAACAAAAGAGATCATAGATTATTACACATGACAATTAAAAATACAAAGACTTTATTTCTATCTTCTTACATTTCCAAGTATCACATCTGATAAGAAGCTTCATCTCTATAAACACAAAAAAAATTTTTTTCAAGAAAGCATTGTTACAAGATGGTATATATAAGCAATAGTTTGGCAGAATTTTGTCAACTCTAGCATTCAGCTCTCTCAAAAAAAATGAACTTTAAAATTCAAAAATAACAGCTTTATTTTACATATTTTACAACTTACATTTAAAATATCATGCTCTAGTTAAATATTTCATCAACAACACTGTATACAAATAAAATATTACACAAAATATATTTTAAGAAAATTTTTGGTCATTGATCTGAACAATAAATAAAAACACAGGCACTTCTACACTGAGACAGGGAAGCAGTCACCCACTAAGGAATAATTCTGCCTAAGCAACATGTGAAAATATGGCAAGAATAGAATCCTGGAGTTTTAAACTGACAAACCAGTCGTGAAAAGGTCTGCAACTTCAATCCTTTCCCTTGAAGTTCCAAAATCACATATGCTTTCCTGGTCCACATAAAAAAAAAATCATAAACGTAACGTTTCTGCAAAGGATAATCCAATTTTTACTTGGTCATTATGGAATCGTTCTCATTATTTTCAAATGCTAAAAATAGTGAACTATCATGCCACCCAGCAAATCAAATGCAAGAACCGTTATTATGTTCCTAGGTCATAATCTCCTTATGACCATAAGCCACAGCAAGATAAACTGGATCACACAAACGATCTTTGTTTTGCAAAAATTAACTGATTATACCAATGTAAGAAAATACTGCTGGGGTGGCAGGAAATTTCGACAGAGGTCAATTACTCTAAATAATTTTTTTTAATTCATTTAAAATCCATGGTAATAAATGTAATTCAAATATCATAAAAAAAATCATTGAATCATACATAACAAATTATTGGTAGTCAATAGGTTTTAAACACCTAAATTGTAGACAATTCACTCATTCCAACAAAAAGTTGGACTATTACAATATTAGGTCAAAACAAAAATAACTTAAAATATAGTCAAATTCCAAAAACATGATTTCAGACAAGAAGAGGGGTAGGAGGGGGGGAATTTAGAAAATAATGACCACTAGCCAGTAGGAAGAATCAGAACCAATCATCCTGCTGCAGCTTCCTTTAAAAATTACAATCTTCTGCTTTCCTTCTTCAGAAAGTACATCAAAGGGTTTAGCGGTCCTCAAACGGGTGCTCCTTATGAAGGCAATTTTGAACAGTTTAAACACAGAAATTACCCCTAATGAGAGAAACACCCCACCCCCACCCCCGCCCCTGGGAACTACCCAAGAGATGTCTTCCTATGCGAAAACGTATGTCTGTCTACACGTCAGCAATTTAAATGAGCGTTTTGCAACCGAGACCAAATATCAATCATCTCTTGAGGTTTTCTGCTATGGACTAACATCAGATCTAGATAGGAGCAAATGTTATTCCTCTTTTTCTCTTCGATGTCGAATGTCTTGAAGCCTTTGTGCTTCTCGGGAACGAGGCCCAGCTTCTGAAGGCACATCCCAGTGTAGACGTCGTCGATGGGGTACAGGAGGACCTGGTCGGTGACGTTGTACAGCCGCAGCGCCAGGCGGCCGGAGTACAGGAACCCGCCTCCGCCGGCGTAGGGCGGGTACACGCCCGCGTACACCACCTCCGGGATGTAGTACTTCAGCTTCTTGTCCCGGTGGGGCCCCGCGTTGTGGATCACGTCCCCTATGAACAGGTCTTTGGCTTTGCTCTGGGACAAGCTATTCAAGTAGTTCAGGATGTGGTGGGTGTTCACGAAGACGTCGTCGTCGCCCTTGAACACGAACTCGGCGTCCGGGCAGGACGTGCTCACCCAGCGCAGGAAGAGCACCTCCTTCAGGGACAGGTTGAAGAACGTGTCTCTGTAGTTCCACATGAGAATGTCCTGGTGCTTCTCGCTCTCAAACTTCAGCATGTCGGACAGGTCCGGGTGGTTGTCCTCCGGGGGCGTCTGGCCCAGCAAGAAGACCCGCACCACCGTCTGGTTCCCCGCGCGGGTCTCTCGGCCCCACGATTCCCGGATCGCTTGCCTCCTGGCGAAATGGGGGGTGAGGGACTTGATCGCCAGCAGCAGGAAGGGTTTCTTCGCACACTTATCCCGCTGGTCGATGAGCAGCGAGTAATTGCGACACCTCAGGTACAGCAGGAAGTCTTTAAACCTGTCCGGCAGATCGCTGAAGCCCGAGACGACCGAGGTGACCCTCAGGTCGGGTTCGCAGAAGTTCAGATGGCTTGTGTTGGAGACCCCGGACGGGTCCCCGGTCTGGTTGGCCAGCATGCTCAGGATGGGGTTGTACCTCCGGTTCAGCTTTTCTTGTTCTCGGTTCCAGTACGCCGTGGGAGGGTTGGATATCTTCCAGAACTTTTCTTTGGGTATGATTACTTCCCCCTTTCCATTTTTGTCTTGGTTACTGCTTCTGGAGACTTCCACAATCAAATAAATGAAGACATTTGCCATCATCAGGATACCCAACAACTTTATTCTTCGACGTCCAACACTCATTTCTCATATCTGGAACAAAAGGGAGGAGCATTGGATTAATCGAGTCATGATCCATCTGCGTTTGCTCACCCACGTCACTTGCCTCTTGGGCTTGACCTCCCCCTGGAAGGGTGGACTGGAGCACAGACTCCAGGTGGGGATGGCCTAGGTTCAAACCGTGGCCCTGCTGTCCTAGCTGTGTGACCTTGAGCCCGTGGTATAACTGTGTCTCAGCTTCTCCAACTATAAAACGGAGATAATACTCTACCTCATAGGATGGGTGTGAGCGCTCCATGATTTTATATAGTGGCTGGCCCATAGCAAACAGTGTGTAAGTGGCTGTTAACATTACGGCTGTTTGAGACACCGGAGGGCAGAAATAGGCATTTCCTAACCTCACAGGGGTTGGACTTCCTTGCTTACAAGGACACACACAAATCAATGCGCTACAAATTGATTTGCCCACAATCCATAACATCAAATACATTTTATGTTGTGATCCCGTACACGTATGTGCACACACATGTATATAATTGTATGTGTTTATAGGTGTTGCGATGTGTATAGTTTCATGGAATTCACTCCAAGATTTTACTTTATTCTTTTTTTTTTAATGGTGGTCCCAACCCTGAATTGTTTCCCAACCCACCATTTCATGGATCAGAAAACAAAGGCAGAGAGATGGGGACGCTTGCCCGGAGTTGAAGGGCCAGGGGGTGAAGGAGCCACTCGCCACATTGAGAGCTCAGAGAAATCAAATGCCAAGAGTCATACCAGCTTTATCCTAATTTCTAAAAACCGAAAACAACCCATATACTGTGAAGAGAAAAACAATTTTCAAATCTCAGCATGTTCATACAATGGAATCACCCTCAGCAATAAAAAGGAAACTATTGCTACTAGTAACAAGAGTACCGTAGAAGTGAAAGACAGACCTCAAATTCCATTTATGTGACGTTCAAGAAGGCAAAATTAACCCAGGTCCTACATGTCTGAAAGTGACAGGGGTAGAGGTTTTGCCTGGAGAGGGGCAGGAAGGAATGCAAGAGAGTACAGAAATGAGCCCTGGCCAGTGTTGCTCAGTGTTTGGAGCTCCGATTCGAGCACCAAAGGCTGTGGATTCAGCCCCAGTCAGGGTGCATGCAGGAGGCAGCCAATTGATATGTCTCTCTTACATCTCTCTCTCCCTCACCTCTCTCTCTCTCTCTCTCTCTCGCTCTCTCTCTCTCTCTCGTCCTCCCCTACCCCAACCCCCCCCCACACACACACCCAATCCTATCATCCTCTCTTCTACCCTCTCTAAAAATGGATGGATAAAATATCCTCGGGTGAAGATTGACAAAAGAAAGAAAGACTTAAGGTAGGGGTGTCGAACTCAATCAGAGAAGGGGCCAAAATCTAAAATCCAGCCTAAATCGCGGGCCGAATGGTTTACCGAACAGTCATAAACTGTCATTGTGATGGAAATGCAGCGGAGTGCAGTGATGACAGCGCGGTGCAGGCCACATTGCAAGGCCTGGCGGGATGGATTTGGCCCGCGGGCCTTGTGTTTAACACATGTGACTTAAGGTCTCTGCTGTTTATAGCAAAGAGAAATGAAAATGATATTTTAGTGAAATATCAAAGGCCACTAACAGATTTCAGTCTATAGGCAATTTTTTTTTGGTTAATCTTCAGCCAAGGATATTTTTTCCCATTCATTTTTAAAGAGAGTGGAAGGGAGGGTAGGAGAGAGAGAAACATTAATGCAAGAGAGAGAGATCCAACAAAGAAAGACCACAATGAGGAAAAAGATTTGGAAGGATGCTCAGGAACAAACAGCATACACTATGAATAGCTAATGACTTCGCAGAAGTTTCCAATTCAGAAAAAGGATATGAGTTTCAGCAGACTACCATTCGGTGATTACCATCTGACATACCTCATTGCTTCAGTTTCAGAAGACTGTCTCTGAAATTCTAGAGAAAGTTTTAAAAAAGACAGTTTAAGGGGAGAAAAGGGAAGCACAGTACGTGACTAAGTTAATTTTCTTAGGAAAAGACTCAGAGTGAAAAACATGTGAGACGATTCTAGAGGAATGAGCCAGCTGTGTCTCCAGGTTATGGGGCAGGGCGTGGGAATGTGGCCCCAGCCAGAACCACCTGAGGAGACGGTTTGGAGCTTCTATCACGGAAAGCACAGACCTCTCTTTGGGGAATGCTCTGAGGAACACACTGGGCTCGCTCACCGTGGCCAAGGTCTACAACTTCACCCACTGCAACGGAGGCTTTTATTTCCTCAACCAAGACCCGGCCCCGGCGTTCCATCCTCTCAACTAAGTAAGACAGGCCTCAGCTCTCAAAGGAGCACCACCCTCGCCTTCGGTTTCCTCAAGGATTCCAGGCTGCAGAGCATTTCCCTGCCCGTTCCTCACTGGCACCCCCTGAGGGAAGGTGAGAGAATAGCCCTTCACCAGTGAGGAAAACGGAGGCTCCAAGGGAGAGCTCGTCGGGCTGCCTCGTGTTACGTGAGCACTAAGGCACAAAGCTGACCCGGCAGCCTCCTGGCTCCCATTCCCGCCGGGCTCTTTGGGTCTCCTCCTTTTTCTACAAGGTGCGTCCCAGTCAACAGTGAAAGCTCTGGTCCCGGTCAACAGTGAAGTCCAAAAGGCTGGCTCAGGACCCAAGGCACAGGGTCATGGTCCATCTGATGTTACTGAGACTCTCCAAAAAAAAAAAGGGGGGGGGGGGAGAACAGGACCGTCTAGACTCTAGAAGCTCCCAACTCCCCTTCTGAGAATTACAGGGCCAGCCTTCCTTGTCCAAGTTTCCAAGGAGCCGCCGGGGCTAACTCTTACCACTATGTGCTCATTGGAAATTTCCCCAACCAGCTTGAGAAGGGTGGGTGGGAAAACAGAAGATTCTCGGTTGTGCTCATCCATCAGGCTGGAATGTCATCTTCCGTTTGTGCCCGGGGCACACAGTCCCTCGCCTGGGAGCTCTGCACAAACCGAAGTTCATGGAGAGGAGGACAGAGCAGTGACCTCCCGCAAAAAAATATCTGTGGGAAAGGGCTCTGTGAATAGCTGACTAACTACTCCCATTGCAAAAGTAAAACCAACTCCGTGTCCTTTTTTGAGCAGGAAGTCACATTGCTCAAGAAGAATCTGAGTAAGGAAACTTCTCCCGGCACCGGGGAGGACACTGTACAGCCCTCACTGCAGAGCACGGGCTTCTCACCGGGAGGAGCAGGAACAGGAGGAAGCCGGGGACAAACCCAGGACCGCCTCACGCTTCACCTCCTGCTTCGGCATAAAGCCTCCCAACAAGGACCCGGCGGTTTTGAAATCTCTAAAACACCATCAGTTGATTTTATTTGTTTAGCGAAAAACAACTCCCTCCCTTGTTTTGTAATGAAGATATTTAGAAAGACAAAGTAGAGGCTGAAAAACATATTTGTCGTAGCTGCAAGTGGATTACAAAATAGTACCGGCTATGTGAGAATCCAGATAAAACACCTCACAACAACAAGGCCGGCTTAGTCAGGACGCGGGGATTACAGGCCACTTTAACAGTCTTTCCTGCCGCCACACCACGCCTCCCTCTCCCTGAAGGGCCTCCACCACACACATCCAGGCCGCCTGGGGTGGGCGTGGAGCACAATCACACAAAATCCCCGATGTGACGCGGGGCTCTCATCTTTGCAGCCCCTCACAGCGCCACAGGCCGGCCATCACTGTATGGACCCTGCACTCCTGTCCTGGGGCCCGTACCATCTGCCTGAAGCCCTCACTCAGAAAGGGTTCCTAAGCGTAATGGTAAAATATGAACACCTGTTTTCTTTTAATAAATGTTCAGGTGCCTGCCTGGCAGACGGTCTCAGATGGGATTTCTCTTGCCCAAGGTCACCCAGCTGGTAAGTAAATGGCAGAGCCAGGATTCAGACCCAAGCGGGTGGGCTCCGGAATCCAAGTGTTAAACCGCGATGGATGCATGTGAAGGCGGACGAAAGGAACGGGAGGGATGCAGGTCTTGTTTCCGATGGCTGATCTTCTTTAAGAGTACGACATGTTTTAAAGCTGTGTACATTTTAACTGACAGAAAGTGCCACGAGTCAACATTAGATATGGGAGGCAGAGTGGTGTCATAAAGAACACTTATGGAATGATTACTCTAAGGCCAAGTTCTGGTCAAAACACCTCACCTACCTCATTTTGTTTCCCAGTATGCAGTTCAAACAATCCCAGTGTGTTATTATGGACACTACTCCCCTGGGAAGCACTGAAGAGGATGATCCCAAAAGGTCCCCTCCATTTCCGAAAGCCCTATAATCACTGAACACCGGCAACGTGCTGGCTGGAAGATGCTTTTATGGGACCACAGACAGCCACAAGGACTCATTCCCACAGAATTCTGAGTCAGTGATTGAGATCCATCCCCCAAGGGACTCCAGTAAGTGAGGTTGGTGGCCACCAATAGCTAGCTAGTCAGGGGCAGAGCCAGCAACCACACCCAGGCCCTCAAGTACCAAGATTAAGGACGAGAGAAAGGCAGGACCAGGACCTTGTTGCAACCGTCTCCCATCCAATCAGGCTGAGACAAGGAGACTTGAAATCCAAGCCAATTCGACCACAGGAGACTGAGCTAGTAGCATCCATGTCCACGGGGTCCTGCTTCCAGATAATTCCCTTGCACAAACCTGACGTACAAATCCTGAGAGAGAGAAGGGTGGAAGAAGGTGTTTCCATTTTGGAGAACTTGTCCATCATTCTGCCTGCCCCCTGCCCTCCCCGTCCTCCCGGAGCCTGGCCAGAGTGGCTTTCCTAAATCCTCTCCTCCCAGGCGGCCCCCATCTGTTGCCTGGCTCTTGCCAGCAGCCCTTTCTAGGTTCTGCCCAGATGAAGAGACAGAACAGCTTGCAGCTGAGTGGCTCTGGGGGAGAAAACAGCCTCTAGCACGCAAGGCAGGCAGTCGATGATAAGGTTCGAATGAAGCAACTCAGCTGGACCCGAGAGCCGGGCCATTACCTAGAAAGCTTGTTTCTTAATAGGAACAAGAAGCCTGGCCTTGGTTCTTGCCAGGCCTGGGGCAAGGGAGCCTCAGGACTGTCTTCACACCCTCACCCAGAGACTGGCCTGAAGCAAGAACATGTGTCTGACTCTGCTCTCTGGTCCGTAAGTCTTGGCACTAGCTGAATTCAAAGAATTTGGTTCCTAGTCATTACTAGTATCCTCCATGTTCAAATTTAAGAGGGGAAAAAGTACA